CCCCCCCTTCCAGCAAAAGCTGATCTCTGTTTTGTCATCTGGTGTCTCTTCAGACGCTGATTTTGTCTCTTCGCTATTACATCCTTCTAATTCTGTTTTACATGTAAAACCCTAAAGATTGTCATAAGGAGCTTTGCAATGAATGAAAGAACTAAACAATTGGAACGATAATTAAATATTATGAGAAGGCACTATTTCATCAGGGTTTCAGGGGCTAAAAGCTTGAGTTTGTTTTTATTTAAGTATGTGTTTTTACACCCCCTTCGACACAATTTATAATATTTAAGAGGCAGGCTTCGACCCTGCCTGTATGGGCCAATTCGGGATGAGACCAGCGACGGTTTACAGTAACAGCTAAACCACAGATGTTGGTACGGGACCATGGAAGGCCAGAAACCAGAAGACAAGAGAATTTATTTATAACATGAGGGTGGGAGTCGGTCATTGCGACTAAAGCCCCTGTGTTGAAACTAGGGCACGCTGCAACACGCCATCTTTCTATCTATAAATGTCTGTGAGTGCCCTGTGTCAACTCGACGTGTGATGTCTCCATAGTCCATAGCCGTGATCCACCATTCGTGCGCTTGATGAGCCCCCAGTATTGGAAGAAAGGCGTCACCTTTTACGGTAGCCGGGTAGATTCTCTCAAATAGTTACTTTGTTTCCTTTTCGCTACTGGCCTTTTGACCAACCATCTTCAAAGAGGTTCTTTCATTGATAATTGAGGAAGTCATATTTAGGGTATGCAGAAGACGTTACAAAAAAGTGTAGGTAGGGCAGGACAATATTGACGCTTGCCCCTACACATTAAGCGGCATTGACTCCAGTTATCATTGACATTACAAAAAGATTCCTCAAATAGCCTTTACAGACAATTATTATGCATTAGTCGTATTGGAGCCTATGTGTTATTTCAAATTCTATCTTTTAAAAAAATCAATTCTTGCTAAATGTGATTTCTGTGCAAAGCACACATTATCTCCACAATGTTTGGGTTTTACTTTCTTGGTACAGTAGATGCAAGGCTATCAATGAGCCTGAAGCAGGTGTGATAATTGTAGAATTAAAACAACACAGAACAAAACAAGACAAACAAACAAAAAGAAACCCACCATCAACAGCGGGTTAACCTATTTTTGCTTACAAATGCAATACCAATTTGGTCAATACGACTTCTGATTTTTTTTTTTTAAAATCTATTCTTTACGAATGAGACAAAGAAAGTTTCAGTGCTTGATCAATCCTTCCGCCACCTCTCCCTCCTTTTTCGTATGTCTCTTTCTCTGTCTCTCTCTGTCTCTCTCTCTCTCTCTGTCTCCCTCTCTCTCTCTCTCTCTCTCTCTCTCTCTCTCTTCTTTTCCCACACAACATACCCTTTCTATGTCCCTTATTCTCCCTCCTTCACTCTCTCCCCCTCTCTTACTCAACTCGACTCTCTCCCTTCTCTCCTCCTCCTCCCTCTCTAGACCGACCCCCCCTCCCCCGCAAAAAAAGTCACCACAGCTTTAGTATTTTAACATTGCATTAACATTACAAAAATCAACTGGTGACGTAGGAGAGGCCATTTAACTCCCTACCTTTCCAAAAAAAGATGAAAAATTAAATGGTCTAACCCAGATTTCGGGGGTTTCCGGAAATCTTGACCTACCCCAAAAGTGGGCTTTGCCCTACTTATAGGAAAAGTTTGGTTTCATTGGTGTGTATATTTGTTTAGTTATAGAGAAAACTCTCCTTGTCTTTTAAAGAAACAGAACAAGGGGCAAAAACGTTGCTTTCAATTTTCTCAAAACAGCGTTTTTCGGGAATTCCCCCTTTGTGCTTAAAAGCAACCAAATAAATTTTCAAAAATTGCCAAGAAGGATAACTGTGGTATTACCCTCATAAACAACGTGTTTGAGACCTGTATAGTAGAGAGTTCATTCAACTCTTACACAACAACCCGGCACTTACCGCCCAGCAACTTGAAGGAGTCTTCGAGCAGGCCCAGGGAACAGATGAAGAAGTACAGGATGACAAACAGAATTACAATCCGCATCACCACTCCCGAAACTCGAAACACTTTCTCCATCGGGCGCAACTCTGATGACACAGGAAAACATACAAATGAAACATCAACAATTTCCATTATCTGCTTCATGGTGAGAACAAAATTTAGTGACCTCGCTTCAGGTTAAATATTTCCCACTTCAATATAAACACACACACACACACAC